CGAATTAATACCATTGCAAGTGTGCAGTTAGTTAACAAGTAATAAAGTGAATTTGAGTCCAAGTATCGTCTACAGAGATTGATTTAGTTTAATTTTAATTATCGTGACTTTAACCGAAATATGAATAATACGGTGTGTTTGTTTGGAACAAAATTATGGCTAAAATAATCTACTTATGCAATTATGAGTAAATTAACTAAATTAAATGCAAATTGATGCTTTTAATAAATGACAAACGCACTAAGATCCCAAATTCTCATATAATAATCATTTTTAACCTTAGTTCTACAATTTGACAACACGGTTGAATTTTGACGAATCAATGTTTCTATTTTATTAAACAATCTTTCTCGAGTTATGTTTAACCTACTCTCATATATGACACTACTAGATTTTTTATGACGGATGTGAACATACAAGAATGTATGAATTTTTATGAACACTTAAATATTCAAATGGAGTATAGCGGTATATTTATATCTTCTATCGGACTCTATGACAATTTACACTATGTTGAACCTATTTTCCTTCTTTCGAATGCATAAAATAAACCACCAAATTCATACAATTACCGTGCACAATAAATTGTAGAGAAAAATAATCATGTAAATCATTCAAAATTAAAAAGACATGTATTTTCAATGTCAAATATGTAAAACTAAATATTAAAAACTCATATTATAAGGTTCATTGTTCTCGTAGCACAAATAAATATAATCTAACATGTTATGAAGAAGAAAACAAAATAAATATTGAAGAATCGACATCACCCAAATAAAATTTGAAGCGAATCTTCGAATCTTAACTTCGTGTTTCTTACCTCCTTCTATACTCCAAAATCTCTTAGAATGTGTTGTAATGCGCGGTGACCACTTCTGGACGGCCATAGATTTTTAAAAGACATTACAAGATTTGTTTCCATAAGAGTTAGAATAATATGAGGAAATCAAAATTTTTCCTCCAAAAATGTACCATGCTATAACATAGTTCAATGAAACTAAACCATGTAACTTCTTGAAGCCGACCATGAGACCGTGTGGTATATTACACTATGCGATGAAAATTCAAAATTTACATTTTAGTCCCCGAACTCCATTTTTTTGTTTTGTGATCTCTTCTTTTTCTTCTTCTTCAAAACTTCATTCCTTCGTTCAATTGGTTTTTTAACTCTTTCACATATTCTTTTTTTCTTCTGGCTATTTGCACTTTGGTCCAAGAATTTTGATTTTCTTCCATTTTAATCTTTTTTCGCTTGTTTCTCTTAAATTCCACCATATTCATCAATATTATCCTACAAAACATAATTTATATAGAATTAAGTCATAGTTCGATATATTTGTCAACAACTACAAATGTTTGTGGCATAAATAAGTGTGTAAAATGTACTTATCAAGTCCACAAAATTTAATTAGACATGGTATCAATTTGAAGATTTCGAGTTTAGTACAATCGATCAATTTGCAGCCTGCGAGGTGCATTTTACTTAATTTCTTATAAAGTTACCATAACTTTGGAATCTGTCGTCGAAGGATTAAATGAGCTATCGAAGGATTAAGTGACACAAATTTCTTATCACTGAAATTGATTCTGTAAAAGAAAAAAAATAGTTAGCTCTCTTGTCTAGTTTTTATTTTTTCCTTAAATTCATTTTCAACCAATACAACTTTTCAATTACATATTTCATTAATTTTTTTCAAATTCTACTAAAAAATTAACTTTTAGTTAAACCAAACTGTGACTTTATATCGTGACTATTGTTTGTATCGTTGTCGAAGTTCATCTTGATTAAAACTTCTACTTTCTTTAAGACTGCAATAAATAACTATATTAGAGCATCTACGAGAAATCTCTTTAAAGAGAATCTTATGTAAATGGAGAACATCTTTAAATTTAGAGAGTAAAATTTTGTACACTTCAACAATACTCTATATTTGGGTTCTTTGTTTATTTTTTGAATAAACATTTATTATTTTTCATTATCTTTCATTTAACATTTTTTTAGACGACAATGACTAGTCAATTCATTTAAAGTTTAAATAATTGAAAAGTAAAGTATTGAAATATGTAATTTATTTGATGCAATTAATATAAAGCTAAGAAACCGAATCACATAACAATTTTAACATACTCACCAAAGATACATGCATTCCTTACAAACTAAAGATTAATTGTTCACAAGCTGGAACATAGTTTATCTATCCATTTTATAATTTATGAAACATGTGTGTTTTGATACTTTCTA